GAGCGACTCATCCCCCAACTTCATACTTCATACTAGAAACATAAAGTTATATATACGTGGTAAAGCCTTGCTGCGGTTATATTAGTAGTATAGTTGTAGTACGAATGGTTCTAGGACCAGGAAAGGACCACGCCCTCACATAATACCAGCATAAAATAATATCTTTATATTTCGTATGGTGAGTGTAGAGAACCAGAGACCCTTTTTACTGGAAACGAGGCATTCCATATTAGTCCTCACGGGTGACAACGCATATGTATTTTGATTCGTAATCGAGGATAGATGTAGATGTCTATGGGCTACAGCAACCACTTACCATCAGATGGACTGTGTGCTCGTTTATCCTATATAAAAAAAATTTGCCTCTTGTAACTCTAATGGCTCTCTATACGCTTTAGAGCGGAACGCATTAATGCAAGCAGCGCTGTTTGGCCGCAGTAATATGGTGGTACTCCAAAACATAGAAGGAGCCATATCAACTAATATTGTATACTTCTCGTGCGGTTAAAGAATGATACTGAAAATGGCGTTGCCTTTATTTATCTCTCGCTCGCACACTGTCACTATCTATAATCACACCCGTCGGTAGAGACTACAAAAAAAAATATGTTGCGATATGCGTTTTTCGTACTCGTACGTGCTATAATTTCAGTACTACTTATCATTGGCATATACTCGTAGTTAAAATTATCTCGGTTTTACATTTTTTATTTTGTTATTAATTTTGTTAAGTCGCTGTTATTGTTTTTGATTATGATTGTAAAGCGTTGTTAGTTATTTAGTTTTTTGACTATTACGTTATTTGGTGTTTTATATAATCCCTCCATTGTTAATAGAATGTAGATAAAATCTTTTATTATTTTATCTACATTCTGTTAACAATGGAGCTCAAACGCTGGAGTACTACATAGTGCTACACGTAAAATTGTATATAACGCAGTAAGTATTTTGAGGAAGAGAAAAATCTGAAACCTTATCACCCATAGCAACATAGCAATGCAAGGGTGGATATAGTAACAGGATTGTCATTCGAATTAATAAAGATGATGAGTATCAAGTTTATCTATTAGCTATCCGTTTGTTTATGATTAATAATTCAAACAGACTATTTGTGCCATAAAATAATAAATTTAAAAGTATTGTATTCGCTATTCAATATTCGTTTTTTCAAGTTTTGTCCGTTTTTAGGGTTCCGTATCCAAAGTGTACCCCATATCGTACCGTTACATCCTATTAAAGTCCACTCCCTCATAGATTGTCTCATATTAGGGGATTTTTGCCATAGTTGCCGCGCTTCGCAAGCGAATTGGCAACCACAGTTTTTTTTTTAAATTTTAGTCGTTATTAGGAAGATGCTGCTGCCCATATTCTGATTTGTTGTCCTCTGTCGCCTCCTACGACACCCAGGTGGGTGATATGGTGCAGTAGATATACTTACATCGCCACTACCCGGCGGAGTGCCCAACGGAACCCTATTACCCAGTTTATCTGTCTCTTTGTCGCAGGGCTGTAACTATTTAATTATTAGCTAATATAATGATCATTTTAATGGTAAATAATGAAACAAATAAAATGTTAAAGCCCAAGAGGTCTTCATATTGTTACGAGATTAAGGTTCGTGACAGTAAAAACTGTCGATTGAATTATCAAAATTGACACATCAATTACCGAATGCCAATTAAAACTTAAAACACACTAATAATTAATCGCACTGATCACTTTAGTTCACTTTATTTCGCTTCGAAGCTTCGCTTGTATTGCCAATTCAATACTGCCCTGGTCGTGGCCCTCAACGGCTTTAAATAGGCCTTTTCCACCGAAACATCTAGAATATTCCATCAAATACCGGCCCTTGACCGACCAGGTGCAGAGAGTTCTAGTGTGGAGCTTTCTAAAACGCTTAGTTCTTCCATTCGATACTAGATGGCGCTAGTGGGAGAGTTCTAAAAAGATATTGACGCTCCTATTTCTGCTGCTTGAAACCAGATGGCGCTAATAATCAGCTGCCACATACCAGGCGCTAATTATAGCGCGCAACAATATTATAAGAAATCTCGAAAAAGAAGAATGAATTTTCCAACTATGTATTTTTTTTCCTCTTCTGCTTATATCTTAAAATCGTAATACCTTAATTGAATCTATAAATTTTTTGCTAATTATCACTATAATAAAATAAAAAAATAAAAAATATAATAATACCACATACTCTATACTCCACACTTAAATAACAAATAATGAAAACAAGATAAACAGTGAAAGACTTGGTGGCACTGAACCCCAAGGAGATGGATTATTTTGCATGCAGGTTCAGAAAACGGATAGTTTAAGGATGCTGAATTGATATCTAAGGCCAAAATCAAAAAGGGCAATTACTATGATGAAATAAATAGGCAAAATTTCACTCAATATATTGAGGAAAAATTAATTCCAAACATGCCTCGTGGTGATGGATAATGCGCCGTATCACACGCGTAGGTAAGATATGCACAAAATTGGTTACGCATAAATAGTATACATTATGACGATTCATTGTCAAAATATGAGCTTTTAGAATTAGTTAAGAAATACAAGCTGGATAAAGATTACACTATACATAAATTACCAGCTAATCATAGCCATGAAACATTAAGATTAACTAGGGTGTTATCTAAACCCAATAGCAAATGTGTGGAATCTGGTAAAACAAAGAGTGGCCGAAAAGAACGTCGATCAGCTGGAAGAAAAACGGTAGTACTAACACGTGAAGCAATAGCCTCAAGTATGGCCGTGGATAGGAAAAAAGTATAAAATTTGTAATGGGCGAATTAAAATGACATTGAAGAGTTTATAATTAATATTAGACTAACAGCTAATGTGAAAGCGGTTGCCGTTCCGATTTTGATTTTTGATATAGACTTCTGGGAATATCGACGACAAACAAAGCCGCGCGCGAATTATTGTATTGAAGACCAACACTTTATTGTTTAATAAGACTTTATTTAGTATGAAAATTTAAAAGTAAAAACTAAAATTACAATGGTTTTTAACTTAAAGCAAAAGTGTAGTTGGTGCTTGCGTGCGCGTTCTCTCCATTGTCAGGCGTTGGGAGGTAAATTAAAGTAGGTTGTGGGTGATGTCATCTTGACACCTCCCTACTGATTCGGAAGTATGTTGTCCAAATCGACTGCTGAAGACTCTGCGTTTTGCATAGAGAATCATGACAATGAAAACTGGAATCAGGTAGTAAAGATTTAATATGTGAGACTGTATATTAGTCGTGATGGAGAATTGGAGTTCTTCAATTTGTTCTTCTTGGTCGTCGGGTTATACCTCATATACCTACTGTAAAATTATAATAAAACTTGATTTTGTTATAAATCTTGTTTCAATTTTGATTCGTCTTTTATCGATTCCCCTGGCCAAAAAAATTAAAATGCTATATTTTGGATATTATGGGACCAAAAGTTATGCCTATTCGTTAAATGTGTTTATAATTTAGTTAAATATTATGTTACATTGTTACGTATAAAAAATCTGTGTAAATAAATTTTGCCAAGGGAATCAACTGAATATGCCGAATCTCAGGATGCGGGGACGCCCTACATTTTGCCTACCAGTATTTTCAGAAGTGGCTGCCTCGTACCGCGGTACCAGGTAGCCACTTCTGAAAACACCACACTGAAAGCCTTTCTTCCCATCGGTTATCTGTTCTTCGAGTTATATGATTGGTCCATTGCCACTTCAGCTTACTAATGCTTTGGGCTATGTTGGTCATTTTAGTTCTACTGCGGTATCCTCATTCCTAAGTTTATCACGCGCAGAAATAGTCCTCGAGCGTAGCCCTCTCCATAGCTCGCTGAGCGACCTTAAATTTCCTCATACGGCCAGCTGTGGAGGACTACGTCTTAGATCCATATGTCATCACTGGCAATACTCTAGTTTTGAGATTTTGAGGTATGCCTGACGAGAAGATGTGTCGTAGTATCCCGAATGCTGCCCAGCCGAGTTGAATCCGTCGATTGAAATCTCGTTCGAAGTTAGACTTACCTATTCGGACTATTTGTCCCAGGTAAAAATACTCGTCAACGACTTCGAGCTTAGTGTTACCACCAACCACCGGCATAGGTGTCACATGAACCCTTATAATGTGGGTGTTTTCAAGGCAAGGGTGTGTATATTAATAAAAAATACAAATATGACATTTGACATATTAACGACTTTAATTACAGTTTATACTATTTACTATACATTTATAAGTTACCATAACAAATTATTAGCCCTAGACCATATAAATAAATATTTTTTCAAACCTGGTAAATTACAGTTATATATAATATATGAAGTTGGTTTAAATTAAATAATGGTCCGATAACCGGACAAGTAGTTTTATTTTATTTATCCGGCTATTAGAAATGAGTCATCTACAACTAGATGCGGCCATTTGTGATTGGTTAATCAATTGATTGATTAGGTGTATTCAATATTTTTATGGCTATTTTTAGCCAGTCTTAGTGCCGGTGATTCGGTTATAAGTTCAAAAAATATTTAAAATAACTATGAGTTCTGTTAACTTCGTCAAAAATATTAAACGACCTATCAATAACGGCTAGGTTGCCCTATAATATTTAAATTATTTGGAGCTGTTCCAAAAAGTATGAGTAATTGTAAGCCCGGGCTCAAGATACTACTAATTTTAATATTTCTTTTGGCAATACCTTTACCGAAAATAAATCGAACATACTTAATAAATAGTTCGCTTTATAATAAAAATGACTTTTAGCGAAATGAAAAAGCCAAATTTAAATTAAAAATTGCTGTAATTTTTCCATAAAGTATGACTTAGCATCGGCTTTTTTTCTGTTAAAATTATTTTTTTACCATTTCGGGTAAAAAATACAGCCTCAGCCTTAAATGTAGAACATTAACAACGACGTAGTAAGAATTATGTATTTTACACGAATTCGACACCATACAAAGACAAAATGCACCTAAACCCTACAGTTATAAATCTGCTACATTAATTAGACTTCGCTTTTCATTGTTATATCTGAATCAGTCTTCTTCGTCTCCTGAGCGCCAATTAGTAATGAAAAGGTCATTTTGACTAGTTCATTCGCTGGTGCTTCCACTAGTAACCACAACGGCGTTGCAAGAAGGAAGCTCACCATCACCATAGATATGCTTGTATAAATCTGATAAACAAAAAGTAATAAACATTAAAATAAGAGTATTTTCATCTACCTGTAAAGCGTAAGCAGTACACAGTCTGTCTATTTGGCAAGCGGATTGACAAACGCAGTACCAGGCGGCTCGCACTTTTTACACAGTCTGATTTTATATTTGGTACCTTGTTTTGAGAATGGAGGGCGTTTTTTGACTTGGTACACACAGGCGGGGGATACAGTTGTACAATTTTTGTTGCACAAAAGCCTTTTTACTAATAAAATGATATCTGGGCTATACTGCATTGCTGCACGTCTTCTGACTTTTTTCCCTCTGTCGCTTGTAACGACAATCAGAAGGATGGTATGGACTAGTGGATTTACTAACACCGCCAATCAGTCAATGTGCTTTACTGTAACGTTCATGTCACATCGAGTAGTAGTGTTACTAGTTGTGAACACAGTTATAACGAATAGAACGAAATTGTACTTTATGCGAGACCTAGAAAGAAAAATGGGTGGGCAACTACCGGTGGAATAGGATCACTTATTATGTCACATTTCTTGACGGGGGCCTGTTTTCGGCACTGGACTTATGATAGGTTGTAATGATGATGATCATGACGTCCAGCAAATTATGAGTACCAGGTGCTATGTAAACTTAACCTTTACGGATATTAGAACTTTTAGGTGCCTTTTATGTCCGTCCAAGTCTGTGATTCAGTCCCGATATGTACCACTTAGCTATTTCTACCATTTAATAACAGTACTTGCACTGCTATTTAAGTAATGCTGCGTGCTGTTGTGTTTTTCTCTGAAGTATATAAAGAGCCACTATAATTACAGACTGTGAGTCATTCCACTTTCAAACTGAAAACGCAAATGTAGTTTTCTTTGTTTGCAGTTGGCTGTTAGTTTCCATGGACTTCAATAGCCACTTACCATCAAGTGGACTGTAAAATCCTTTATCACTTCAGTTTGACAAAAAGCAACGATCACGGGCTTATGAAGTAGAATCTCATATGAAGCTGGAACGAAGCGCGATTATAAAAAATATAAATATTTTTTTATTTTCTTACAATGTGAATGAACAGCGCATTCGTTTGTGTTTCAAAAGTGCCCATGTATGTACGGATGACTAATATGTGTATAACATACGCGCTGTACGACAGCCGGGCTGGTGTGACCCATCTGCGCCATTCTAATATACTTCGATATGTTTCTGAAAACATTATATTTAATAAATAGTTTGTCATTATTATTAAAAATACTGGTAACAAATAAAGTTATTTTGCAAATTAAATAATATAGATTGTCGTTACGCCGCCACATGCTAAAAATATAATTTATTATATTAATTTTATCAATTAAAATTAAATATAACAATAAAAAGCGTTACAGTTTATAATCAATTAACAATAATTATTATCGACGTGACTCATGAAAATAGACGTCAATTGAAAAATATCCTAAAGTTGCTCTCTCTCTCTTTTCACTCAATGATAATAGAAAAAACAGGTATATAGATAATTAATACTTAATTCTAGTAAACGATAGTCAACGATTGTAAGTAAAGCCGTTAATGTACTTTCAATTATATGTAAGTAAACTTTGTCAAGTGGTAGATTTTAACGCTAATTACATTATTAATACTTCTCTTAACCACTTCAAGTAAGCTTGAGAATGCTTGGGATAGGTGTGGTTCACGACTCGACTGTAGTAGAATTGATTTTAAGTAACAATTTTTCAAGTTCTCAGTCCGAGTTCAGCCTTTGACTAAGGTAGAATTACTTACTTGTGCGGTATTTTTACGAATACTCGAAAGGAGATCGATAATTAAGCATTTATCGCACACTTTTGAAGGTTTATCTATTTTCATCAGAACGAAAATTGTTTCTACTCTTGAAAAAGGCTATTGCCTTGGTTATTCATTCTTCATTTGTATTCTAAATTAACTAAATATGAAAAGAAATCTCATTCAGACCATTTCATTCAGAAAGTAGGAGATATGTTGGAATGTGGCACATTCAGTATCAATATTATAAAAAACCATCAACAGATAATATATATATATGCTACATACAAAAAGGTTAAGATAGAGTAAAGAAATACTGTTCGGGGAGCGACCTATTCCCGCACAATGGAAAGTATAATAATTTCGTCATCCAATAAGCGTCATCCTATATGCTATTTCGCGATTTACGAAAAGGCTCATGACGCTGATATTTAATACACAAGGAGGCAAGGTACAGGATCCTGTTTTCACAGGAAAAGTTGACGAGAATGGCAGGGTACGGGTGTTCAAGCAGTGTTCATTCAAAAAGCAATCAATTTCCGAGGCCGGTATTCGAGCAGGGCATACACCTGCACAAGAATACGAAGAGCAAATGACAAAATAAATGACATTTGTCACAATCATTTGTTGACACCATGACATTGACATTACAGCAGTAAAAAGACTGCAGTAGTGTAATACGATTGAAACATTCACTTTTAATCGATTATTTATTTTTAACTATCTACTTATCCACTCGTTATCATTTTTTACCGTTAGGTATGATAGAAAAACACTTTTTTTATTTTCATTTTCATGTATAAAATGAAAATTATTAAGCTTTATTCCATAAAAATGCTGTAGTATGTATGCATGCAATTATCAATATCGATTTACCCAAATCGATTATACTTTGGCTGAGTTCTTAGTACTGGTTACTTTTTTCTAGTTACCGCTCTATTGACATAATGGGAGTGTTTAGGAAGATATATATATATATATATATATATATATATATATATATATATATATATATATGAGTATTGTAATCGTTTACAGTGCTTGTTCAATCTAAGATAATGAAAATCTACATATTTACTGCACTTTTCCATTGCCAGTAAGGATGAGTTTTGAATGGCGTACATAATCAAGTAAAATATATGTTTTTTTGGTACATATTTGTTTCGTGGATTGATTGGCCCAAAACTGGGTTTCTCCTTTTGCACAAATTCACACACAACAGTGCGTACGTGCGCTCGTGCGTACGCACGTACGCATGAAATATATAGTAGGAATGTCTATAGCAGAAATCAGAATCCGCGAAAAGACAGTGGATCCAAAAACAATAAAACTTTAGTGATATTGATACTACCGATATAATACTTAAATAACTAATGCAATCTTACTGTCACATTTGAAAATAGCTCCCAGTATAAACAACCCCATCAACAAAGTTAAAATAGGCTTCACGATGCCAGCGTATAAAGCTCTGATATAGATGGAATCACGAGGAGCGTCGCGGTAAAAAACACTTCCCAACCATGTTATTAGAATCCAGGTGGGGAATAATAGTTGGTATATCCACAGACGTTTCTGGAAATACAGAAATATATTATATTAGAATATATGACTACTAGTAGATGTGTGACAATGCTCTAATGTTATACGCATATCTTGGTAAGTTGTCAAAAATAATTAGTGTTTAAATAATACAAGCAACATTTTATACTTTTATTTGTTCATTATACATAAGTTTACGAAAGTCTCAAGAACTCACTAGTCGAGCTCACGAGCACGAAAATGTATGTTTGAAATCTTACGCCCTACTTATTGAACGCCTTAAGGTTTAAAGGAATCAAATCCTACATAAATAAGTAATTAATACATTATCAGAATTTTAAATTACAGTATTTACTATATTATTAAACAGATTATTTTATGTTAAGTTTTATTAAAAATATATAAAGAACACACTACCTTATACTTCTCGACATTAAAGCCCATACGTAATAAATGATAAGTAATATATCCCATGCTTAAGCCAATAATGAAACCTGCCAAGTTGGTGTGCCCTCGTTTATAGATATGGTTGAAAGTTGGGTTCTTGATAAAGTAGTTAACACATGTTCTGAAAACCAATTTATTCAGAATAAAAAAAGCATCCGCATCTTCCAGAATTGTAAGTTTATAAGTCAGCAATGTCTACCACATTCAACCAGTCATACCACAGTCAACCAACCATGCAATATATTTCCGCGATTTAAAAAAGTGAAGATTTTAGAAAATGTCAACAAAGAACTCTAATCTTCTGATATATGAGGACACAACCAGCTCATATAAAATTCCGGAGGCTAAATATCCAGTCAGGCGACGGAGAATAACGTCAAATATGCGAGGCGTCTGCTACTACAATAACGTGGCAATTAAGAGGATACCTTGAAAATGAATCGTAGTTTTGGAAGCGTGGCTTATACCTTGGGCGGTGAAGCACATGTGGTCTATGTGCTTTGTGAGGGAGTGTCAAAATGAAAGTGATGCAATAACTTCATATTACGCAAATAATGAGATAGATGTACCAAGCACGCGCTCGGAAAAAAGTAGGTAAGCGCCAAACAATATTTTATTTTTTTAACAAAATTTTATGTAAAAACTTAATGGATAATTTTTATATGATTAAAAAATGGTTCATGAGCACATAGATATGATAATTTACTATGTCTTAAAAACAAATTCCATGAACTTATTCGTAAAAATATTGTAGTGTTATGGAGAAGTGTAACTAATTAGAGCCTAATTTTTCATCAAGAAAATTACATGTTATCGTATTTTCCTTTTACGAAATCGAAGGTGGTATAGACAAAAATCATATACCAAATATTTGATTCGTAAGCTATATAATTTAAGAAAATATGTGCAATAGAAAAACCACCAAATTTTCGAGATATAACCTTAACGTAAATCTTCCTTAAGAGAGCAATATAAGTCTAGGAGACTTTCATAAGCTTTTGAAAAAGAAGAAAAAGAATCGAAATACAACATAAGTCCTTGTAATCGAGTCATTTAAAAATCAGAAAAACTTTATCTATTATCGTATATATACTACAATTTTCAGCATTTCCTTTGTGTCGACAAAGACTTCGATATTACCTGGACTAGATTATTACACTCAGATTTTTTTAGTCACCACAAATCCTTCAAGAAGTCAAATATTTTGTTTATCCTCTATAGTCCTAGACTCTTATCCATATATTATATTAAATAAAATAAAATTGAGAATTTTATCCACATATTATAAGTAGTTTTTACTCACTCAGGCGAAATTATAAAAACAGCGTCTAGATCCTTTACATATGTTACAACAGCAGGAATCATTACACCAGCTGCGAACAGTACCGACAGCACTACTTTTCTAACAGTGCTGTTTGTCACCATTAAGCAGATGAAAACACCTAGGCAGTATAGTTGCATGTCAGCCGCTAAGTACCTGTCGATAATGAAAGCTATGCAAGCAATTTAATATTAAGGGTTTAAAACCACGCTAGAGCACGGAGTACGGATAGGTCGGCTCGTATAGGGAAGGAATACGCTCATGCGCAGTTGCTAAACGTTTGGCCAACCAAAGGCTGAGTCGCAACCAAAAGTTTGGCAATTTCCCTAACAAACCCTCAAAAGCTGTCAAATTACTAAATTTAGGCGAGTAATTATCAAATAGTTAGTTCCTTGCGAAGGCGGCACGATTTGCATTACATATAGTTTTCGTTGCCTTTGAGTATTCATCTATTATTGCCGTCACAATATACTCTATTAAAGTAAAAAACTTGTTTGTATCAGCTGCATGGTCTGGTGATAAAATAACCTGGTTGCAACGTAACAATTCTAGAGTTTAAATGACAACCGTTAATATTTTATTAAACAAACAAATGTACAGGTAAAGTTAGTACGAGAGATGAGTCCTGTAATAGAAATATAACCATCTTCTTTACAAAAGAAATAGAAAGACTTTTTTATTCAATGTAGATTATAAAAATACTTATTGAATGTCACTTTTTTAATTTACCACTGGTTCGCAAAAAAAACCTCTGTCCTGGGAAGAACCAGCAAGAAACCCAGCGGGACTATTTTTTTAATAATAGCTTACAATCACGTTTACAATCAACAACACAAGACAAATTAGAAATAGCTTGGTAGCGATCACCCTTCCCAGGGGTTATTATCATCTATAAATTCCTTATATTATAATAACCCTTTTTATATAAACTTAGTTTAATAACATTTTTAAACTTTGTGTATGCCAATTTTGTATATTTTCTGGGATTTTGTTGTAAAAGCGTATACATCGCCCCAAGAATGAATTACTGAGTCGGTGGAGTCGAGTAACCGGTACTACCAGCTTGTGTCTGCTCCTAGTATTTACAGAATGAATATCACTTCGCAACACTACTATTTTGTAATACATTACATTTTCATAAATTTATTGAGAGGCCAGAGTTAATATATTAATTTCCTTAAATTTTTGTCTCAGTGGCTCTTTTGGTTTTAAATTATATATTGCTCTAATGGCCCTCTTCTGTAAAATAAATATAATTGCAGTGTGTCCCCATAGCAAAATACCATACGACATAATGCTATGGAAATAACTAAAGTAAACTATTCTAGCTGTTTCAACACTGGTAAGAGTTCTAATCTTTTTTATAGCATATGCTGCAGAACTAAGTCTGCTAGCTAGTTTTGATATATGGGGGAGCCATTGAAGCTTTGCGTCCAGTGTGATTCCAAGAAAAATGGTGGTATCAACAAGACTCAGTTCCTCCCCATTTAAAATTACATTAGTATTGACATGTTTAACATTAGGAGTTACGAATTTCATACATTTAGTTTTAGTTCCATTCAAATGCAAATTATTAACATTAAACCAATTGACTAACTTAGATATAGCATTATTTACTTCGTAGTAATTTAATAACTGTCGTTTTAATTTGAAAATTAATGAAGTATCATCAGCAAATAATACTATATCATGGTTATCCCCTACTATGTAAGGTAAGTCATTAATATATACAAGAAACAGAAAGGGGCCGAGAATTGAGCCCTGAGGCACGCCCATTTGTACAATCGACCCGGAAGAACTCATACTATTAATAACAACTTTTTGTGTTCTGTCACTTAAATATGAAATAATTAATTTAAGAGCATCATTTCTTACACGGTAGTTACCTGATTAATGTTTCATGGTGAACACAATCGAAGGCTTTGGATAGGTCACAGAACACACCCAAAGCATCCTGTGAATTCTCCCATGCATTAAATATATATTTAATCAGCTCAACACCAGCATCAGTTGTCGAGCGACCCCTTGTGAAACCAAATTGATTTTTATGAAGTAATTTATTTACATTAAAAAAAAATTAACAATTGATCAAGAATAATTTTTTCAAAAATTTTACTAAGTGTTGGCAGTACAGAAATAGGTCTAAAATTAAAGGGGTCCAATGTACTACCAGATTTAAGTAAAGGTATTACTTTACTATGCTTCATTAAATCAGGAAACACACCAGATTTGATACTACTATTAAAAATAATAGATAGTTGAGGTGCGATTGTATTTATTATAGACGCAATAACTTTAACAGAAATCCCCCACAGATCGGCGGTTCTCTTAATATCAATAGTCTTAAAATATTTTACAATATCTTTTTTATTTTCTAAAAAAAAAAAAAAAAAAAAAAAAAACCAAAAAATAATAGCGGTCACGGTGTATCGGAACCTCAATGTTTTTTTTATTTTTTTTTTTTGAATGGTTACAGTTTGGGTGGTTTGTCATTTCGAAGTTTTTAATTCTAAATTCGCAATGAAAGATATTGGCTGTTTTATGTCTCAAGTTGGAACAAGCAGCACAATTTTAAAAATTTAATTAAAATAGATTGAACGGTTACGAACATTAGTGTGAATGAACATCGCGGCATGAGATTTTTATATGTTAGGGTAATATATTTTAAAAATTACCAAGTATGTATCATGCATAATGTGCCGTCGAAATAATTGCTAATGTAAAACAAGTTCTGCCAAGCGAAACGACGGCAGTCTTCTGCTTCTGTAAGTACTGCCTCCTGAAATTCAAAAATAGTATTTTTTTTTTGTAAAAATAAGATACAAAGTAAGACAGCAACGTAGGGAAATTTCTTACCCTATTTCATTATATATAAGCAAGGACTACTCATTTACATCACATATAGTACTTAATTGGCGATAGCTATACCATATAAGCGTTGACGCTGCTCTCGTCGCTGGTGTAATACTGATTGTCAGACTACCCCGTTGGTCTAGTGGTTGTAGTAGTGCGACTGCTGATCATGAGGTCCTGGGTTCGAATCCTGTGTCGGGCCAAAAAATTAATAATTGAGTTTTTCCGTCAAGAAATTCTCCGTAGTTGCGTGCCTCGGAAAACACTTAAAGCCGTTAGCCCTGCACCTGATCTCTCTCCGGTCGTGTCAGTATACCGTCCCATCGGATTATGAGAGTGAGGGAATAGAGAGTGCACCTGTGCTTGCGCATACACTTGGGCACTATAATCCTGTCCTTCGCCGATGGCTAGTCTCCGTTGAGGCAGGCCGCCGTGGCCGAAATTCGGTCTGGAGGACATTATTATTATTATTGGGGTATCTGTATAGTTTTCTCATCTGGTTGTTTTCTATAAATATATAATTATAAATTAAAATGAAAAGATAAATATACATAAATATCAATAAAATAAAATAAATACAAAAAATAAACAAATAAATAAAGATCCAACCAGATGGAAGCCCTTGACAGGGACAGAGACCAAACGGCGTCCTAGGGTTAGGAGGAAAGGGAAAGAAACCGACGGACGATGCGGGCGGTATCGAGGACCACTGCCTTCTGCATTTGAGCCCGGAGCGGTCCGTCTCGGAGTCCCAGTCGCCTCAGATGACCCGAGAGGCTGACTGGGATTAGCCCATTCGCAGAGACGACTACAGGAATAATTTCGGTCTGCCGACCACCCCACATGTCGGTCACCTCGTGAGCCATGTCCAGATATTTTGTTCGCTTATCTGTTTCGGCTTTCACGAGGTGTCGACCAAAAATATCCTTGACTATGCCCGGTCCATCAGCACAATATCAGGCTTATTCGCAAGAATAGTCCCGTCTGTGATGATGATCCGGTCCCAGTAGAACCTGGCGCGGTCATTTTTGAGCACGGCTTCCGGCAAGTACTTGTAATACGGCAATTTCCGGTCCACGAGACCGTATTTCAGAGCGAGTTCCTGGTGTAGAATTCTAGCCACTAGGTTGTGCCTGTGCAAGTACTCAGAGTTAGAAAGCGCTGAACAACCGGAAATGACATGCCTAAGTGACTCCCCGGGATGGCGACAAGCTCGACAGACGTCGACGGTGCCATCCTTTAGGATGTATCTCCGATAGTTATTGGTCTTAATAACACGATCCTGTATTGCAAATACAAAACCCTCGGTTTCCCCGAAGAGGTCACTCAGAGTTAGGAACCATTCCCCTTTCAACATGGAGGACCGCACACTTATCCGTCCCCAGCTCCATTCCATTGGAATTGCTAAATTCACAAGTGATGTTTAGCAATTTCATAAGGTTGGGTTCGACTGGAGACGAATAACTTGAGGTCATCCATATAGAAAAGGTGGTTCACTTTTGTCCCTCCTTTCCGTAGCTGAAATCCCCTCCCGGAGCCCTCCAGTAAATTCAGAGAGAGGCAGAACCAGATTGGACTCAGACAATCGCCCTGGAAGATACCCCTTCTTATCCTTATGTGGTTCTCCGCAGCCATCATCCGCTCGCCCAGATGACAAAGGATCGTACTCCACTGCCCCATAACCTGCTCGAGGAAGTCTCTAACTGTACAGTCTATCTTGTACAGCTCGAGGACTCTCTTTAGCCATGTATGGGGCACCAAGTCGAATACCTTTCTGTAGTCTATCCAGGCGGCGGAGAAGTTCCGACGGTTGCGTTTCACCACTTTGCCAATGGCCGCGTCAATGTGGAGTGGTTCTTTGGTTCCACAACCACCTCCCGACATCCATTTTGAGCGCGCGACATCACCTGATTTGAATCCAGGTGACGAGTGATTCTCGCGCTCAAAATGGATGTTAGTGTCTTGTATATGGTCGGTAGACACGTGATGGGGCGGTATTTGCTCGGGTCTGTGGTATCCTGGTCTTTAGGAACCAAATGAGTGATCCCAGTAGTGAAGAGGCTCGGGAGCGACTTCTGGTTGAGAGCCTCTTGGAACTGTCGGGCGAGCACAGTGTGACACACCACAAACTCCTTCGGCCAATATTGATGCAGCCCGTCAAGTACCGGACTTTTACAGTTCGGGGCCCTACGGACCGCATCGGCTACGTCATCCGGCGTTATAATGACGGGGTCCATGGGCGTTATACTCGCACACTGACTCGCCATAACTTCCGTCCAAGAGCCTTCGATGTGGTTTACGGGCTCTGACCACAGGTCGCGCCAGAATGTTATAGCGTCGGCCTGATTCGGTGTTGGGCCTGTTCTACTTGTATTTGCTGGGACAAACTGACATTTGTCCCAGCAAATGCCATCCTGACGGTGCGCACAATTCTTGGCCTGTTATTGACTGATCTGAAGCATATCAGTCTGCCGATGAGAGCTCTAGCCTTTGCGATACGCTCCTCAATTCTTTTTCTCCATGCTAGAATAGCGCTACTTTGGCCAGTAGCGCGTCCAACCGTGGAAACCTTGGCGCCTATGATACGGTAGACTGCCAGCGCGGTGCCAAAAAGAATTGAGTCCGTATCGCAAAGGTCCCGGCTGGCTTCCAAATAGGTCACCAGCGTTGGGTTCAGAGCCCTCACGACAGCCCGATTTCACTTACTTAGGGCTATGCGGGGAAGTCGCGGTCGATTTTCGAGAGGCGTACTGCGTGTTTCCATAATCGCCTCTTCCAATGTACTCCTCATTTGCTCTATTTCTAGTTCCTGGGCTAATGTTCCATCATCATGTGAATCAGCCACCACTGGGGTATTTACGGCGATATCCACGTGTGCGGGTTGTTCTGCAACTTGTGGCACCGCATCCTCAGCCGTAGCATTTTCATTTGATGAGGGAACAGCCTTACGTCGTAGTTGTTCGAGTTCGACGTCAACAAATATATTTGAGCGCAAGATATACCGAACTCGGTCTGCCAGGTTTTGCTCGGTGACGGTTACAGATGGCTCCAGCTCAGCAAAAAGTCGATGCATCCTTGCCCGATACGCAAAACCTACAATTTCTCCCCCTATCGCCCTATAATACATTCCCAGCAAGGTGCGTTGCTATTCATTGAGGTTGTCCAACGCATGCGGCGTATTCCACCAGTGGCGGGTGCCGATTGCTGGGCCCGCGAAGACCCTACCGTCACCAAGCCTGCTGGTGGGGATGATGGATGCGAGGGGCTACTAGGTGGTCGAGCAGCACCTCGCGCTCGGCTGGCGGTTCGCATGCTGTCACGTCCAGCGCCAGCTCCAGACGCGCCCCGGCGACCGCCAGGCAGCGGCCCTTTGCGCTTTCTATCAAATTCCATCATACATTTTAATGGACGTCATTCAACGGGAGACGCCCAGACCCAGCGCCGTTTCACGATGAGGCCATGTGCACAAAAGGGCCTTCAACTAATGCCGAGGCACGGCACTAACACCTCTTGGCAAGGTGCTGCCTGACTGCGCTCACGTAGTGGTTTTGTCACGTAACCGTTACGTCAGCGGGCGATGGAGTCGTCACTTCCCTACGCCTATTTATTATTATTATTATTATTATATGTGGGGTATCTATATAGTTTTCTCATCTGGTTGGGTGCTATAAATATATAATTATAAATGAAAATGAAAAGATAAATATACATAAATATCAATAACATAAAATAAATATAAAAGTACATTAATAATATAAAGAACCGATGGATTATTATTATTATTGTGGGGTATCTATATAGTTTTCTCATCTGGTTGGGTTCCATAAATATATAATTATAAATGAAAATGAAAAAATAAATATACATAAATATCAATAACATAAAATAAATATAAAAGTACATAAATAAATAAAAGCCCAACCAGATGGAGGCCCTCGGCAGGGGAGACCAAACGGCCGAGGGTTAGGGGGAAAGGGAAAGAAACCACCGGACGATGCGGGCGGTATCGAGGAGCACCGCCTTCTGCATTTGAACCTGGAGCGGTCCGCCACGTAGTCCCAGCCGCCTCAGATGACCCGAGAGGCTGACTGGGATTAGCCCGTTTGCAGAGACGACTACAGGAATAATTTCGGTCGGCAGACCACCCCACATGTCGGTCAACTCGTGAGCCAGGTCCAGATATTTTGTTTGCTTGTCTGTTTCGGTCTTCACGAGGTTCTCGTCATACGGAATGGTAATGTCGACCAAAAATATACTTGACTGTGCCCGGTCCATCAGCACAATATCAGGCTTATTCGCAAGAATAGTCCTGTCTGTGATGATGGCCCGGTCCCAATAGAGCCTGGCGCGATCATTTTCGAGCACGGCTTCCGGCAAGTACTTGTAGTACGGCAATTTCCGGTCCACGAGACCGTATTTCAGAGCGAGCTCCTGGTGTAGAATTCTGGCTACTAGGTTGTGCCTGTGCAAGTACTCAGAGTTAGAAAGCGCCGAACAACCGGAGATAACATGCCTAAGTGACTCACCGGGATGGCGACAAGCTCGACAGATGTCGACGGTGCCATCCTTTAGGATGTATCTCCGATAGTTGTTGGTCTTAATAACCTGATCCTGTATTGCACAGACAAAACCCTCGGTTTCCCCGAAGAGATCACCAAAGCGTAGCCAGTGGAGGGAGGCTACTGTGTCTACAAAGGCTCATGTAGAGCCTTGTAGAACCTCCCGTGGAGCTCCTTCTCCTTCCATACGGTCTCTCGGTCGGAAATGCTCTGCACTGCCGGGTCTTGCCATTGCTCGTTGGCTAAGGATAGAGGGGTAAGTCCTTTATCACAAGAAATGACGTCCATATAGAATGGATCATCCGATCTCGCCAGGAAGTAATCACGGAGGCTGCACACTTCGCGATTATGCATGGTGAGCGCGCTCAAGAAGCCACGATCACCATGCTTCCGCGACAAGTACAACCTCATTACCGACGATCTCGGATGATGCATCCTATGGGACGTCATGGTAGTGCGGACTTTTCTATCCAGGGCGTTAAGTTCAGTCTGAGTCCACCTGAGTATGCCAAAGGTATACATGAGGACAGGCATGACCCAGCCGTTATATGCGTGTGCCTTATTCACACCGGACAAAAGGCTGTTAAGCACTTTGGTCAAGCGTGCATAAAACACGTCGCAAACTGACTGTTTCATACCAGTCTCATCGATACCGATGTTTTGTGACATACCCAGGTATCGGTATGTTTCAGCCTCGGAAAGGGTCCTTAAGTTGACGGGCATAGATAAGTCTACGCCCTCAGAGTTAGCAACCCTTCCCCTTTCAACATGGAGGACCGCACACTTATCCGTCCCAAGCTCCATTCCAATGGAATTGCTAAATTCACAAGTGATGTTTAGCAATTCCATAAGATGGGAGCGACTGGAGGCGAATAACTTGAGGTCATCCATATAGAAAAGGTGGGTCACTTTTGTCCCTTCTCTCCGTAGCTGAAATCCCCTCCCGGAGCCCTCCAGTAAGGTACTGAGAGGGTTCAGAGAGAGGCAGAACCAGATTGGACTCAGACAATCGCCCTGGAAGATACCCCTTCTTATCCTTATGTGGTTCTCCGCAGCCATCATCCGCTCGCCCAGATGACAAAGGATCGTACTCCACTGCCCCATACACTGCTCGAGGAAGTCTCTAACTGTACAGTCTATCTTGTACAGCTCGAGGACTCTCTTTAGCCATGTATGGGGCACCGAGTCGAATGCCTTTCTGTAGTCTATCCAGGCGGCGGAGAAGTTCCGACGGTTGCGTTTCACCACTTTGCCAATGACCGCGTCAATGAGGAGTGGTTCCTTGGTTCCACGACCACCGCCCCGACATCCATTTTGAGCGCGCGACATCACCTGATTTGAGTCCAGGTGACAAGTGATTCTCGCGCTCAAAATGGATGTTAGTGTCTTGTATATGGTCGGTAGACACGTGATGGGGCGGTATTTGCTCGGGTCTGTGGTACCCTGGTCTTTAGGAACCAAATGAGTGATCCCAGTAGTGAAGAGGCTTGGGAGCGACTTCTGGTTGAGAGCCTCTTGGAACTGTCGGGCAAGCACAGAGTGACACACCATGAACCCCTTCAGGCAGTAGTGATGCAGCCCGTCAAGCCCCGGACTTTTCCAGTTCGGGGCCCTACGGACCGCCTCGGCTACGTCATCCGGCGTTATAATGACGGGGTCCATGGGCGTAATACCCGCACACTGACTCGCCACAACTTCCGTCCAAGGGCCCTCGCTGTGGTTTACGGGCTCTGACCACAGGCCGCGCCAGAATGCTACAGTGTCGGCCTGATTCGGTGCTGGACCGTTCCACTTCATTGGTGCGTAGCATTTGTTGAATGTGATTTTTCAGCGTTCTGCTTCGTTTTTGGTTTGCGTTATATCCGGCTGGGACAAACTGACATTTGTCCCAGCAAACGCCATCCTGACGGTGCGCACAATTCTTGGCCTGTTGTTGCCTGATCTGAAGCATATCAGTCTGCCGATGAGAGCTCTAGCCTTCGCGATACGTTCCTCAATTCTTCTTCTCCATGCTGGGATAGCGCTACTATGGCCAGTAGCGCGTCCAGCCGTGGAAACCTTGGCGCCTATGATACGGCAGACTGCCAGCGCGGCGCCAAAAAGAATTGAGTCCGTCTCGCAAAGGTCCCGGCTGGCTTCCAAATAGGTCACCAGCGTTGGGTTCAGAGCCCTCACGACATTCCCGATTCCGCTTGCTTAGGGCTATGCGGGGAAGTCGCGGTCGATTTTCGAGAGGCGTACTGCGCGTTTCCACAATCGCCTCTTCCAATGTACTCCTCATATGCTCTAATTCTAGTTCCTGGGCTAATGTTCCATCATCGTTTGAATCAGCCACCACTGGGGTATTTACGGCGGCATCCACGTTTGCGGGTTGCTCTACCATTTGTGGCGCCGCATCCTCAGCCGTAGCATTCTCATCCGACGAGGGAACAGCCTTACGTCGTAGCCGTTCGAGTTCGGCGACATCAAATATATTTGAGCGCAAGATATACCGAACTCGGTCTGCCAGGTTTTGCTCTTTGACGGTTACAGATGGCTCCAGCTCAGCAAAAAGTCGATGCATCCTAGCCCGATACGCAAAACATACAATTTTTCCCCCTTTCGCCCCATAATACGCCCGCAATGCGTTGCTGTTCATCTGAGGTTGTCCAACGCATGCGGCGTACTCCACCAGTGGCGGGTGCCGATTGCTGGGCCCGCGAAGACCCTGCCGACACCAAGCCTGCTGGTGGGGATGATGGATGCGAGGGGCTGCTGGGTGGTCGAGCAGCACCTCGCGCTCGGCTGGCGGTTCGCATGCTGTCGCGTCCAGCGCCAGCTCCAGACGCGCCCTGGCGACCTCCAGGCAGCGGCCCTTTGCGCGTTCTTCCGTATTCCATCATACATAGTGGTGGGCGTCATTTAGCGGGAGACGCCCAGACCCGGCGCCGTTTCATGGTGGCTGTGCACAAGCGGGCCTTTGCAACTCAATTTTTGCCGAGGCACGCTAACACCTCTTGGCAAGGTGCTGACTGACTGCGCTCACGTAGCGGTTTTGTCACGTAACCGTTACGTCAGCGGGCGATGGGGTCGTCACTTCCCTACGCCTTATTTATTATTATTATTATTATTATATGTGGGGTATCTATATAGTTTTCTCATCTGGTTGGGTTCTATAAATATATAATTATGGGCCCGGAGCGGTCCGTCACGGAGTCCCAGTCGCCTCAGATGACCCGAGAGGCTGACTGGGATTAGCCCATTCGCAGAGACGACTTAACGGATTAGACTTAGCGACTTATAGGATTCCCGGGTTAATTCGATAAAATACGCAAAGATTTGCAACATTTCTTTGCAGTGCCAGCAAGTTAAGCCGATCGGAAAGGCTACAACAGTTCATTAGTGCTGTCGTTCGCATAGCAATGAATATTATCGGCCTCGAAAATTAAAGAGCAGGTCGTCTTGTGGAACACCACCGTTAATGGGCTTTTAATCGGAGCATGCACCGTCTACTAAAACCTAGATGCTCCGATCTGTAAGAAAAGCGGTGATTCAATTGCACAAAATCTCGGGCTCTAAGCTCATAGGAAGGAAATTTCGTAAGAAGCGCTTTGTGCCAAACCCGCTTGAAGGCCTTCGCTATGTCCAAACAAACGGCCAATGCCTCGCCTTGGACTTTACTGTCTCTGCCCACTCATGGGTTAAGTAACGTAGAAGATCACTAGCTGATCGAACCACTACCAAGCACATAAAGCTGGTGAACCACACACACACACACACACACACACACACACACACACACACACACACACACACACCACACCACCACGAAAACGTACTGTTGTCATCAAGAGTCGAATCGGACGCAAAGAGAGAGCCCAGCAGATCAGCTTTGTCTTTTGCGGCATGGACCAGTAAGTCGTTCCCTGTGCAGAAATGGAAAAGATGGCTGACAGAAGTTTCCTTTGATAGCCTTGGCGAAAGACCAGAATGCACGTGCTCCCGAAGGGATTCGCACTCGTTTCTCACCAAATCTGCCGATGTGCTCTGTCTTTGCCTTGTTAATGACCATTTTGAAGACCTAGAGGCAGATTTATACTTCTCTTTAAAAGCGCTGGTATTGGCATCCCGAGACGTCAATGTGTTAGCCCAGGCCTGGTAGCACTCCTGCTTATGGTGTAGTGCAATTTTGTAGGAGCGACCAAACCATTGCTAGGTTCTGCATCCGATAGGTTCTGTTCACTGTAGCACAACATCAGCAACAACGCTGGGATCATTCGGCGAGCAGCAAACCTACTCCCAAGAGAAGGATGCAAAAAAAGATCACATCCAGTTCCAATGGGCTGACTTATAATGCCAAACTCAGCGGCAACCTGCAGAACGCTACCGCGATGGAAGCGTGAGTAGCACCGTATTCCAGATCATAAATTGGTTAGAGGAGTCAAGAGAGGCATCGACGGAGACCAGATATACGTCCGAATGAGAGATCAGCAGAAGGTCAAACAGGGAAGGTACATGATCTTCCACATCTGGGATCCGCGTAGGCGAGGTTACCGGTTATGTAAGACCATACGCCAAAGCAAAGTCATAAACAGATCTACCCGCATTCAGCGTGGTGGGAGTTAAAATTAACAAGCATCACGATGTCTGCTTATGAAACATGTTGTAGCACAGAGTCTGCAGTCATTTGGACGTGGTAGATGAGTTGTTCTGCGTCGATATTAGCGCTATGGATCCTATAGAGGCACCCGTACACGCGGGGATGGTCGTCGTTGTCCGCGCAGCCATTGGATGGACAGGTCTGTACCTACTAGGCTGGCGAAGCATCGAAAACAGATACCTTCCTGAGGTACACGCAAACTCCAGTTCGGGGCACAAAGGAGTGTTCTAATTTGTACCCCGACTAGGAAAGATACAAAGCATCAGCCGGAGAGGACAGTTTCCAGATGGAAGTGGATAGCGTTAAGGTTAAATAAAGTCTCCTGATGTTGCAGAAATTCACGGATAGCGCGGCATTGTCTTATTGCTTTATTTCGCTCCACCCCCCTCAGAAAACGTGGGGCAGCCTGAGCACCCACGCTCAGGAAGAGTAGGGTAGCTTGGGCGAGGATGCTCAGCGAGGGATTCTCCATCACCAGGGGGAGCTGGTACCCTCGTGGGGTAGTGGTGTTTTAAACTCTGTGACCATGTTAAGGGGGAGGGGGGAATGGGACCTCCGGCCACCTGCACTCACCAGACATGGCAATAGATGAGGTGTGAGACGACGCGATGTCATGGAGAAACAGGGTTTTATTTTTCTGTTAATGTGGCCGCTTTTCCGCAATTTCTGCCTTCAGTTTGTCAAGTAATCATTTGAAGAAATTTGTTTTCCGAGCGCAGTTTTTAGTTGAGGGAACAAAAAAAATTGCTTGTGGCTAGTTCTGGTGAGTAAGACGAATGTTCAAGTAGTTCAAACCGTAATTGGTGTATTTTTGTCATGGCAATAGCTGAGGTGTAAGACGACGCGTTGTCATGGAGAAACAGGATTTTATTTTTCTGTAAATGTGACCGTTTTTCCGCAATTTTTGATTTCAGTTTTTCAAGTAATTATGCGTAGTATGCTCTTGTAATGTTTTTTCTTTTTGAAGATAATCGATTACATTAACTCCATGACTGTCACAAAAAAACAGTCGCCATTTACTTTCCTAACCGAAAAAACAGCTTTTGATATTTTTTGGAGTCGTTTCCCCCTTAGCATTACACTGTTTTGAATGTATTTTTGTTTTGGATATATAATGTTGCATCCATGTTTCACCTATAGTAATTAATCGCCGTTAAATCTTGAATTTATTACGCTTGAGTAAGGCGAATGGTCAAGTAGTTCAAACCGTAGTTCGTGTATTTTCGCCATGGCAATAGCTGAGGTGTGAGGCGACGCGTTGTCATGGAGAAACAGGATTTCATTTTTCAAGGTAAACAAAGCGGCGGACACGTCAATTTTAAAGAGTAATAGCTCGGCAAAGATTAGGGATAGTTTGCTGGTGCTAGAACAAATGTTGTAAAGTCAACTGCTGGCAATAAAAAAATACAAGATGGCCGATCTAAGTTGGCGATCAAGAACTTAGGTGCTCCAATCCAACTTTAATTTTGTTATCCCAGGGTTTTTATACTCCCCAATTACGATTTTGGGGTCGAATAGTTCGGGACAAATTTTGCATTTGCATTTTAAAAGGACGCCTAGCCATAGTCATTCTAAATCCAATGACCGACCAAGATGGCGGACTAGTTAATTTTATACACTCACATAATATCGGTATATATATGAAAGGGTTTGCTAGGAAGAATACGAAAAATAAAACGACGTCACTGTAAATCCAATATGGTGGACCCCTCAAAATGGCGGACTATGTTTTTTATTCACCTCTATGAAATGGATTTAAATAATGATAACAAGATGAACCCACTGTTTTGTTCGCTGCAGTTCTTGGAGGAGATGGTGTACTACTGCCCGGCTACACGGTAGGACTAAGTGTCTAAACTAATATCGACCTACACTGTGAGCAAATCCTAGCGGTGGTTAAATGTAACCAAACTGGCGGAAAACAAGATGGGCGCCATACCAAATTAAGAACTTATGTCTCGAGAAAGGTAAGGGATAGTTTGGTGGTGCTCGAAAAACTTTTGTAAATACTAGCGATGAAAAATTCTAGATAGCAGATCTAAGATGGCGATCAAAAACCAACAACGATACATTTAATGAAACGAACAGAGCTAGAAACATGTCCAGGATAACTAATAATAAAAATAAATTAATACTGAGAAGACATTTTTAAAAGCAAGCTTTAATTTAAATGTTCTAAAATGAAGAAAAAAATCCCGAAAAACCTATCAATTATAAGTTATATTACATTAACAAGAATACAATAACATGAAACTTGATATTGACATAGTCTAAGAAAAGAATTATGTTTTTATAAAATGGAAAGTATCTGCCTGATGAGGCAATCTATGAGAAGGTGGAAGTGAACTTCTTTAGGCTGTAATAATGATGATGACGATGAACATAGTAGATAATAAAATATCATATTTCTTACATTCCACAACGGACCGGATCCGACAAAACGCAACCAAGTAGATGTGATAGCCAACACAACCGCGTACACAGGGGTTAACCTGTAATTCAGAAAAAGAAATAGCCTTTTAAAGTAATTTAAACACTAACAATAGCGAATACCTTTAAAAAAGGAACTTATATAAGACTTAAGCCACGACCTCCTCCTAAGTTCTGAGAGACTTTATGACGAAATGCTCATAATCTCTCAAACGTACAGGATTCAACACTTCGTACTTGGTACAACCATGCTTGAGATATATAGTTATAGTACAAATGGGTAAGTTTAATCGGTGAACTAGCGTAAAATACCACAGAATACCAGCGTAAAATAACAGTTTAATACCGCTGTGTTTCGTATGGTGAGTGTGGGATACCGGAGATCCCTTTCACTGGAAACGGGGCATTCCATCTTATACCTGAGTGGTGACAACGCATCTGCAATTTGATTCCTAATTGAGGACAGATGTATAAGTCTATAGGCCGCAGCATCCAGTTACCATCAGTTGGACTGTGTCCAGCACACAGTCCAACTGATGGTAAATGGATGCTGCGTTTAATTAATCACCCTTATTGTAATAAAAACAATAACAGAGAGCTAACAAACAGCTGAACATAAGTTATGTTCAGCAGTGGACTTTGGTTGGTTCTATTCATGATGTCAATAAGGATAATTAATTTTAATTTCGAAAAAATGTTCCAATCACTATCACGCTATTTTCATGCATTTTTGTTTTTACCTGTTTGTGGATATCATGCAATTGACAGATTTTTTATGATAATTGTATTAGTCTTTCCTAACTTCAATTTTTGATCTAAATTCAAATAACATACCTCATCCATCTCCTGCAAATTTCAATTGGTATCATCACCCAGGTAAATTTCATCTTCTCCGATTTCATTTGCATATTGAAGGCCAGCAAGAAACCAGCCATTAAGAAGAAAACCTGAACAATTGGTGTGCCGTTTATGAAGGTGTGGTACGGCAGAATGTCGTAGATCTGAAACCGGTATTGGTGCATATTTAAAGTAAAGTCCCAATATAATTCTTGGTTTTGATGGACATAAAATTTATTATATGAAGTTGCGGTGCAGTTATCTTATTGCTAAAAGCGGGATTTAAGCTTTAATATACAAACTTTTAGCACAATTCAGTACTACTGATTAGCGTATTGTGTTTGAATTGAAAGTCAGATTATTATTTTTTATTATTTATTTAGCAAAAGCGATTATGCCATACGCTTTGCATGAGTTTACGTTTCTTTACTTACTATTTTGCATGGCACTGGCACAGTGTTACCATCGCGAGATGCTTGCGTTCCGTTCTTCTTAAGTCAAGGATATGAATTAAGGAAATATTAGGATAAAGAGACATAGAAATATATATATATATATATATATATATATATATATATATATATATATATATATTGGATTAGGACACTAAAATTAAGGAGATATGCAAAACTACGTACCGCTTCAAGATTACGTGTGTTTTTTGGAATATTGGTAAACGGCACGATAGAATGTGCAGATATGACCAAAGCCGATATTATGGTCCTGAAACGAATTTCAGTAAGAAATTAGTTCTTAGTCTATGCCTGGTATCTTTGTACCCTAATAAACCTTTTATTTTGTACGTGTTTTAATAAAACAAATAAACTAGTAGTCTACCTGATAGTAAGTGGCTATTGCAGCCTATGGACACTTACAATCAATTTCAAACAAAAAAGGCAAAAGATTCGTGTTAAGATGACAGCGCATCTGTTGACTGTGAGGATTTAGATGGAATGTCTTACAACCTGTAATGATTACAGGTCAGGACATTCCTGGCTCTCTATACTCTTCAGACTTAAACACAAGGATTAAAGCACTGCTTTTTAGTGGCAGAAATAGGTAAGACCCCGACGCAGCCGCAGCTCTGGAAACCTAACCCGAAAATGAGTACAAGGACCTAGATATGGAATGGAAAACTTTTTAAAAAATTGAGTTAAATTTAAACTTGGTAGGGCTCCTTTTAATATCCATGCTGCCAGTCAGAAGTGCACCCACTGTTTTATCATTCATCTGTCGACTTCTCGGCTTGGAAGCTTCATCTGTCTTTAGAAATTTGAAGAAAATGTGATGATAAGTTGTATTCATTATAATTGCTCACACACACCCACACACACACACACACACACACACACACACACACACACACATGTGCGTACGCATGCACGTACACAAGCACGAATGAACAAAATTACGCACGCTGGACATAAATAAATAAAGCGAAAATACGTGAGGCTATTGAAATTAAAAAACATCCTAATTTCAATAGAGAAGGAGGCTGGGTACTACCACCTGCTTGGGATCCTATAATCAATAAAATTAAAACTAAACCCAAGCATACCACTGCAAGACCTCAGGACATAGTCAGTTCATTTTGCATAGATCGGACCATAAACAATAATTAAAAAAGCTGAAGGTACTCCGGGTTTAACAATGACATCGGGACGTCAGTCATCTCAGTCCCCCGTGACCATGGGTGCTGGAAAGCGCCCGAAACGTCGGGAATTAAAAATAAAAATAAAAAGTAAGAAAAAATAAACGCGATAAAATCCGTAAAAGTAGTTTTAATCATGTGCAATGTTCGCGTAAATATAAGAAATCATTAAATAAAGCGATTCAAATTAATTCAAATCATATTATATTTGTTTGGGCTAATCTTAGGACTGGCTACACTTATTGTAATGAAACTGGACATACAGATTGAGAGAAATGTCAGGAGGCATCAAGGATAACTTTTTCGAAATATCCTCAAGGTTTGATATGTTTTCTGAGAAAGTGAAAAATTTATAAATTATAGTCAACCAAATCTAAGACCTACCTTTTGACGTTTTACATTAATCATTCCGCAATAACTTTGCACAAGCGTACTCATACGATTTAAAATAACCTTTTACGTAAATCCGAATTATGAATTACAACGTGTATAGTTTTTTTAACACAAATTTAAAATTAAACTATATTTGAACAAAGCAAAATATTAAAAAATTACCAGTATCAACTTTTTTTTACTTGACGTTGGTTCAATGATATGTCGCTATGTACATATCCATAGTGTATGGGTGAATAAAATTCATTTTTATGCGAATAATCGGCAAAATTTTCAAATAATCGGTAAAAAAATTAAAATAATCGAATCATCAATTTTTTAATGTATTGTTTGTTTAATTTAATTTTTATTTTAATAATTTCCTAATTTAATCATGAATAAAACAATTTTATTTTTTTTTACTCCGTCAAAGTAAGTTTGTGTAGGCAATAAAAACTCATAAACAAGGCCGTGCTAAAATAACCACTACATGATTACAATTTCCCGCCATTTCAGTACCATATACTCGACTCCACAGAGCCAGCAATTCATTCTTGGGGCGATGTATATGCTTTTACAACCCAGAAAATCCCAGAAAATATACAAAATATGACGTAAGTACACAAAGTCGTTCAAAAACTTTATTAAACTAAGTTTGTATAAAAAGGGTTATTTAAATATTAAGGAATTTATGGATGATAATAACCCCTGGGAAGGGTGATTGCTACCAAGCTATTTCTAATTTGTTTTGTGTTGTCAATTGTAACACGCATGATTGTAAGCCTTTAATTTTTTTTAAACTAGTCCCGTTGGGTTTCTTGCTGGTTCTTCCCGGGACGGAGGTTTTTTTTGCAAACCAGTGGTAAATGAAAAAGTAACTTTCAATAAGTATTATTCATAATCTATATTGAAAAAGAAAAGTTTCTGTTACTGTTTCGAGAGCTTACTGTGCGTAATTTTGTAATGTTGTGTTTGTCTTCTTATTTTGTAACTCGGCTTTAACTTTTTGGACTGTTTTTTTCTATATTTGTTGAGGCATGTCACAAGCCCATGTCACACTGGATGATTGGGCAAAAGTGGTAGGAAAAACAAAAAAAATTGATTATGGATGACTTTGAAAGAGACATTAATTTTGACTGCATTATTGAAAATCAAATGATACTTAATTAATATAAACAACGACATCTCTACCAGTTGTACTGAAAGTGATTGAATAAAATTATTTTTAATGTAGTTTTGTTCTTAAATTTTTATAAATGTGCCTCTAGAAATAAGCAGTAATAAAAAAAGATAACAAATACGAAGAAACTGATAAATCTTGTGTTTTATATTATCCGTTTTTAATTTATTCTGGTATTATTCAAACCAAACTGTAAACGATTAACAACTCTAAATAATCGATATCGATTTTTTTTTAGGTATCGAATCGAACGTACAATATGTTCCCATTTTTTGGTAGGCATGCTTGGTGCAATAAATCTGACAACTGTCAAAATGTATTTCTTAGATTTGGTTGACTATAAATGGTTATTGACGATTAACTTGAATATTTAATAATGCTACATTAATAGGATCCTACCCAGGCAAAGCAAAACGGGTCGCTAGTATGTCATTAATACATGCTTCTATTTCGTTCACATACTAAACATGATTAGTTTTTCCCAACGGTAAAAAGTCAGTCATTGCTTTCTTGGCTGACGTTGTGATTATTCCATTTGATAATATAGGTCATTACTATAATTTCATTTAAATTTATTATTGAGCAAAAGTAACCCAAGTCTCCGTCATTTGACCACTGTACAACCCAGTCCAGAGCCGGAGTTCAGACTCTTTCGGAGTATGGTGAACTTAACGAAATCGCCACAGTTAGCAGACGCAAGTAGTATTGGACAAGTAAATACTGTCACGTTTACAGCATTTTCAGCTCTTGTAATATAAAAAACTCACCTGACACCATGGAATACTTTTAATCGTTCATAACGAGGGTTATTAGAATCGGGGGCGATCAATTTTTCCCAATTTCGCTTGATAGAGAAAGCTAGAATAAACTTGTTGCCTGAAAATTTTCAAATACAATTAATAAGTATAAAATTAAAACTCTCATTGCTGAACGTAAATAACAAATTTTCACACCCATTTAAATTGAAATTATTTTTGAAGTGAAAACTTCTTTGGATTTATTTATTTATTTACTTATTTACACTTTATTGCACCATAAAAAGATTACAAAGGGCGGACTTAATGCCATTAGGCATTCTCTCCCAGTCAACCCGGGAGGTGTGGAAATTATGTGATAGGTGACAAAATAAAATGAACAATAGAGTAAATCAAGGAAAAAAAAAACTACTGATAAACTTAAAAACAAATTAATATTATATATACAAATACAATAAACTTATATACTCCAAAATATAATACAGATAATATATAATATATACATACATATTCTTAGATACATAAATATATACATATTTTAAATACAAATAGATATATAATATAAATCTATAAATAAAATAACAACAAAGGTAACCAAAATTAACCATATTAACTATCATCTAATATTTTCATAAAATGCTTATGTACCAATCTTTTAAAAGCAGCTTTTATTAGATGTTTTTCTGACGTCATCGGGCAAGGAGTTCCAGAGCAGTGCAGCCTGAATTGTGAAGGATTTACCAACAAAATTAGTAAAATGTAGAGGGATACTTAGTTTATTACATATGAGGAACGCAGAGTTCTATCATGCGTTAGGGAAATATATTGAAATTTTTCCTTGAGATAAGAAGGAGTGGATGGATCATTTAAGATAGAGAAGAGAACAAGCAAAAAATCTAGAGTCACGCCTCTGTTTAATAGTAAGCCATTTTAGGCGAGAGCGATAGTGAGAAATATGATCAAATTTACGGAGATTGAAAATGTATCTGACGCAATTGTTGAGAAGGCGCTCTAGCTTGTTGAGAAGATTTTGGTTTAAATCCGGGTAACACACGTCTGCATAATCAATGATTGGTAGTATAAGTAACTGTACAAGCATAATTTTAGTCTTAAAGGGGGAGAAAATTTTTCAATCGATAAAGAGAACGTAAAGAACCAGATACTTTACGACATGTTTCGGAGATATGAACCCCCCCAGGACAGATGTACTATCAATATGGAGACCAAGATTTTTAACTGAGACTGGATTCGTTGTGATTTGAGACTTAATGAAACGAAAAAGCGAGACTCAAAAGAGACAAACATATTTATATCTACAGGATATAGCCTGTGAAAAAATCAGATAAAATACCGTATACAGTGTTTCCTATTATCATGGTTTAAGTGAAACCTTCAGGAAAGGTCCTGAAGGTTTCACTTATACCGCGTGTGAGCTGCACACATTTTTTTAAATCGGTACTGCATAAAAAGAGAGTTTAACCATCCAGGAATAATCACAGTTATTAACACAATTGAATCATATTAAAAAATAAATAAAGCACCAAGCAAATATACATCTATTTATATAAAAATCAATTTCTATCCGTCAGTCTCGATGAAATTTAAAAACAGCTTGACCTATTTTTCATGATTTTTTTTTGGTGTTAGAGTGGATCCCTAGATGGTTGAGATTTACATGTGGATCCGGTAGATGACGCTGCTGTGTGAGATCCAGAAATCACCTGTGCGAACCCGGGGCGGATAGCTAGTCGGGATATTATAAAATTAGTAAAAAGTAAGATAAAATAAAGGCTACAAAATTCGTAAAACTAGTTTTAGTTTTATTAGTCAATAGTAATTTCTTTTTATTCAGTAATATTATATATTTATTCATGTGTATTTTACATTCATTAAGTAAACAGAAGTATAAAGATCATATAAGAAATCTTTAATAAATAAATAATCACGTAGAACATTGACATAACAATCTGCACTATGAGACCCACTTATTGATATAATAAATAGATGCTCATGTCTATGGGCCGCAGCATTCACTTACTATCAGGTGGAATGTGACCGTGTGCTTTTTTTGTCATTTTTACCCCATAAAAAACTGAAATCGAAACTTTATTTTGACCCAAGATCTTAAGAGGCAGCAGAGTCTGTGAAATAAGAGGCCATCTATTAAGAAGGCCAACGTTTAGCAGCGAACTTATGATAGTCTGTAACGGTAACATTATATATATGAAATGTTTATTACATGTAATTTTATTGTGGTTGATAGACATTACACACCGTTACAAAAAATAAATATTTTGTAGCTAGACTATTTCATACTTTTAGTTCTTATTTCCTTTTTTGAAACAATAATCCTAATGTAATTTTAAGCACACACGTTTTTATAATCGCGTAGGAAGCAGAATGGAGGAGCAATTCGACGCGGGCGAGCGGGCAACTCCAATAGGTCACGCCCACGGCATTCTGCCCCATCAATCGCACCAACCTCGGTGCCGCAACCCGCGACCGCTCAGGCTACTGCCAAGCCCGCCCCCCGTTAAAGGGACTTCCGGGCAAGGCCCAAGCCCTCCGGTGCCTTCAGCACCTAAACCCAACGCATGGGTTAAGCCCCCTCACGGCCAGTGCCCTATCTCCGTAGACCGCGTAATGTGTTAATGATTTCTTATATTTACGCGTACACTAAACATTGATTAAAACTACTTTTACGTATTTTATCGCGTTTATTTTACTTTTAATTACTTTTATTTTTAATACCCGACGTTTCGGGTGCTTAGATGACTGACGTCCCGATGTCATTGTTAAACCCGTAGTACCTTCAGCTTTTTAATTATTGTTTATGGTATTTTGCATAGATCGGACCATAACTACTTTCAGCAACACACGTTTTTATAATCAGTAGTCAGACTGTATCTGGTTTCGTGGTATTATCTGTATTGCAAATTGATTACAATATTGTAACAGATTTGGCCTAATCAAAGTAAATCTAATTAGTAGCATGTACTTCGACAGCATAAGTTGCCTGTTGTTATTCGTTTTTCGTAAGCGAATTCAAAAATATTTAGTAGGACACTAATAACTGACTTATTTATAAAAAGTAAATGTACTTTAAAAATGCCAAACATCCATATTAGTGAACTGCCACAGGTTCAGCAAGTTACACAACAACATAATTATGTATTCCCGTTCCTAATCAGTAAAAATTCAAGAAAACTTCTAATGCGCCACTAATGACCGCAATTCTCACAAAACCCTGTTTCCTGTTAACTGTTCCGTTTGCTTTCTTTGAAAAACATGTAAATATTGAACTAATCTTTATTTGCAGTTATTTGGAAACTAAATATTTGTTATATTCAATAAAGCTTGTAATCAAATAAAATCAAATCGATTCTGTTTATTTTGAGAACATAGGTTAATTTACATCTTACATATATATATATATAAGAGCCGTGGTAGCTCAGATGGTTAACGCTTGCTGTAAATATAACAGAACGCGAGTAACCCGGGTTCGATCCCCGCCGGCACCAATGAAATTGTTAATTGCAATTTTAAGTGCTGATTTACCACGTGCTCGGCGGTGAAGGAAAACATCGTGAGGAAACCTGCATGGTGAGGAATAAGAAAAAACGATTTCGGAAGACATGTGAACTTCGCCAACACGCATTAGGGTAGCGCGGCGGACACTTCCTTGCCCTAAAACCCTCCCCCCATAAAAATCCTGGAAAATCCTTTGCAATTTAATAAACAATTAAAAATATTTCTTATTAATAAATGTTACTATAATTTAAATGAATTTTTTGACGATAAATAACTATAAAGTAAGAATACTTAGACTATATATTGTGTTTGAAATTAAATTAATTTATATAAAATAATATTGAATGTTGATGATATGATAATTTGTAATTTATATTTAAAAATTAGATAATACGAAAATAGTTAGCCCTCTAGTGTTGCTATGCCCTTGCGGGGCGTCACATGTATACCGATCAAAATTGTACCATCTTAAATTTGTAAGGTGACATGCAATAAACAATTTGAATTTGAATTTGCCCAGCAGTGGGACTTATATAGACTGTAACTTTACTTTACTTTACTTTTATATATATATATATATATATATATATATATATATATATATATATATATATATATATATATATATATATATACATGTAAGATCACGATGCTAGAAATGATTGATTTAATTTACCTTTTACTTCTCGTTTTTGTAAGAAGATATCGTAAATACTCCCAATAAGATTCATCGTCAACAGAGCAAAGCAAAGAATAGCTATTGCATAGTCTCCATATCCTATATTTAATTTATTATCTACATTATTGTAATCCACGACTTCCAATATTTTCGTTTTCAACTTATATGTTTTCCAAAACGTATTGTTTAGGCATCTCTCAAGGGCTACCCATAAGTCCCGTTTTTTATCTCCATTATAGTAATGTTCCGCACATGTTTTTGTAAGGCACACTCCGTAAAAAAGTTTTGAATGGTTGTAGTGTCTAACATGGTGTTCAGAGAAGTTCTGAAATAAAATAAAATAAAAATATCATAAAGGAACATCATTATTAATATTCATCCATATATTTAGTGGTGGCTTAGGTACGGCTTAGTGTACGTGCTTGACACGGAAAGGATATAGAAACAATAAAGGGAAACTGAAGCAGGACACGCCTTTTATTTCTGTAACATTAGGCTTTCTTGGAAACAAAACGAAACTTGGAAATTCATTCGTTATGGGGAAATGTGGGTGGTAGCGTTTATTTAAAGTGTAATATTCCTATACGTAAGTAAGCTCTCTCATATTGTTAAATACTTTCCAATCATACTTTTTTCGAAATTATTTATCATTACAAAGATGAATAAAAAAACGTGATAAGTAGTAAATAATGCTCGTCTACATCGATATTTCCAGCTTTGATAAAGGAAAGTAGATTGTAGGTAAAATTGTGTTGCAGATAGTTTAAAAATCGGGCTCCCACTTTCTCCTACTGTGTCTTAAACGACACATCCACAAAGAAAAATAAAAAATATGTGTGGGTAGTTTTTATTTTTTTTTTCTTCTACGTCGATTGGTGCTTGAGAAACTGCTCTTTAAATGTGCATTAGTGATTGTGAGCTACACTTATTAATTATTGTAGAAAATAACTTGAAATATTCAGGATATTGCAATGGCAATTCAAGGTAAGTGTATATATTTTTTTACAGCATATCACAAATGTATTTACATATTATATATCATATTTGATCCCGTAGGTCACTCTATGTAAAACAATTGAAATAATTTTAGGTTATTTTATTTGTAATTTTTTTCAAATCATTTTCATGTTCCATAAAAGACACAGTAGGAAAATGAACTACTATTATTGAGGTCACTTGTCTTGATTACAGGAAGTTTGGAAAGCTACTTTCTCTAAATGAGATTATTGAGGAATTGGCGCAAAATGATGATGATGACATCCCAGAATCTATTACAATAATGCCACCGGAAAATTGTTACGCTGAGGTAACGGATGAAGACTCTGGAGATGAAGACTTGGTGTCACTTCAAAATTTGCCGGGATCTCAACTATGGGCTGCTGCTGAGGTCCAGTATGGCAACAGCTGTGACGATCGGAATAGTGATGATCTATCATTAGCCGAAGTAAACAAAAGGCGACGTCTAAAATTTGAAAATGAATGTGCTTCCACATCCCAAGCCTCGCTTCTTCAAGGACAAATAGATGATCCGGTTTCACCTGCTGTACCAGTACCTTCTACTTCAACAAATGCTCCAACTATGACCAACTTCAAAAATACTAAATATGCTTGGAGTTCAAGAGATATTCAGCCTACGCACAGTGATTGACATAACCCACAGCGTCCTGACCAGTATGGTGGTAAAAATCCCATTGATTACTTTGATTGCATGTTTGACGATGTGGTTTTGAATATTCTTATGGAATTTACTAACTTATATGCTACAAAGAAGAATAAAGAAGGTAACGTGACAGCAAGGGAGATTAAATGTTTTTTGGGAATACTGTTGTATAGTGGATACGTGGTTGTTCCTAGACGAAGTATGTACTGGTAAAATGCTCCAGACTGCAGTGTACCATTTGTCTCATTAGCTATGGCAAGGGATAGGTTTAATTTTATAGTACATTGTTGCAACAACTCTCAACTCATTGAGAGAGACAAATTTGCGAAGTTAAAACCTCTCTTTGATGTGCTAAACTCGAATTTTTTGAAGCATGCTCCTTAACAAGAGTATCACAGTATCGACGAAGCTATGGTCCCATATTACGGTGGGCATTCATGTAAACAGTTTATAAGAGGCAAACCCATTAGATGGGGCTATAAGTTCTGGGTTGGAGCAACGCGTCTGGGCTACATTTTATGGTTTCAACCGTATCAAGGACAACAAGGATGCACCGATATAAAGTACAAAAGTGTCGGATTGGGTGCCAGTGTTGTATTGCAGTACGCTGATGAGCTTCGTAAGATAAATACAGAAGCTCCATTCCATCTATTCTTCGACAACTTTTTTACATCTATCCCACTTATAGATGAACTTCGGACGCGCGGTCTGAAAGCTACAGGCACCGTAAAGAGTATAGAGTGTCAAAATGCCCTAAAAATCAAAATATCACCAACAATGAACTCAAAAAACTAACAGTGGGACGTACAAATACAAATCTACAAGAGCTGAAGAAATTGTCGTCTGTAAGTGGAATGATAAAAGTGTAGTTACCGTGGCTTCCAATGCTATAGAAGTATTACCCGTCAACAAAGTCAAAAGATTTCTCAGCAACAAAAAAATATGTGCAAGTGGATCAACCTGCAGTTGTGAAGACATATAACGAAAAAATGGGAGGTGTTGATCGTTCTGATCAAAATATTAGCCTTTACAGGACAAGTATTCGTGGTAAGAAATGGTATTTCCCACTTATCACTCATTGCCTTGATATGGCTACACATAATGCTTGGCAATTATACAAGGAAAATGGAGGAGTTTGGGATCATCTGAAATTTCGCAGAAATATTGCTGTAAGTCTTATTGAAAACAATAAGAAGATTGACGGTCACAAAGGTGGACGGCCATCACAATCTTTATCTGGGGTGTTGCAGTATAACCACCATGGCAATTTAGTAAAGTATAGAGACGACCGTTTGAGATGCGTCTTCTGTCACAAAAGTGCAAACTTTTATTGTGTCAAATGCAATGCTACACTACACCCAAAAACATGCTTTGAAGCTTATCATACACCCTAGTTATTTTGTTTTACAGTTATTTTGTTCAATTTTAAATTTAATTGTTTTATAAAAATAATTATAATAAAGTTATATAAATGAAACAGTGAGATATCATTATTATAAATTTTTGCCTTTGCAAAATTAATCCTTTTTCTAATGATTGGTAGTAGTAGATTCTCCTACTGTGTCATTTACGGCACACCATTTTCCGGCTTTCCCTGGATAGTAAGATTTTTTTTAAAATTTTTTTTGAGATTACTTGTAGACTAATTGCATATCATATGAAATTTTATTTCAATGCTATGAAAAAAAAATTGCTCAGGAGTAAGTGCGTTAATTTACAATTTTGTTAATTTAGGTCATTAAATTGGTAAGTTCATTTCTAAATGTCAAGATAAGGTGAAGTAGGAAGTAAGATTTTTATTTTGTTTTAACATTTTCTCGTGTAATGTTATTTCGTAATTTTTTTATAGGATAGGGTGACAAACGAGCACACAGTCAAGTCAGTAAGTGGTTGCTGCGCCCCGTATATATCTACACGCAAACTCACGCACACTCACACATACGCGCGCGCACAAACACACACACACACACACAGAGACACACACAGAGACACACACACAGACACATACGGTATATATATATATATATATATATATATATATATATATATATATATATATATATATATATATATATATTCCACCATTTTCCGGCTTTCCCTGGATAGTGAGATTTTTTAAACATTTTTTTTTGAGATTACTTGTAGACTAATTGCATATCATATGAAATTTTATTTCAATGCTATGAAAAAAAATTGCTCAGGAGTAAGTGCGTTAATTTACAATTTTGTTAATTTAGGTCATTAAATTGGTAAGTTCATTTCTAAATGTCAAGATAAGGTGAAGTAGGAAGTAATATTTTTATTTTGTTTTAACATTTTCTCGTGTAATGTTATTTCGTAAATTTTTTTATAGGATAGGGTGGCAAACGAGCACACAGTCCACCTGATAGTAAGTGTTTGCTGCGCCCCGTATATATCTACACGCACACTCACACATACGCGCGCGCACAAACACACACACACACACACACACATTCACACACACACACATCACACAGACACACACATATATATATATATATATATATATATATATATATATATATATATATATACGAACGTATACATACGAGAAAATTGGCGCTCGTCCGCGTGCTGAATGGACACAAGAAAATTGTGTAAAAGCTTTGGACGAAATTTCGAAAGGTATTCTTGGCATCAATGAAATATCAGAAAGATATAGAATTCCATCTAGAACACTAATAAGAAGATGTAAGGTAAACAAATGGTTTTCACTCAAGAGGTAAACTATCTGCAGCTGTATTAAACATAAAAAAATATTGAAGCCTTAACGCCGAAGGTAAGGCAACTCCAAATATACCTTGCAAAAATGGACGTCGACAGTTTCAGCTGAACTGATGTTCAGAAGAAGGTGCTTCGAAAAAAGACCAAAGATAATATCGAGTTCAGAGGAAGGTGGAACATCTTTAGGAGATAATGACGCAATAAATGATAACTTTAAATTTTATACAGATTGTTTTTTAATTACCTGCACTATAGAAGGCAGAGATTCTGCCCTACTGATCAACTTTTTCTATGAAACACGTTTTCAAATTGTGAAAAAAATAACTTCCTGTAGAAAAGTAGACGGACAAAATGTACCAATGTATAGAAAGTTAATATATTTTTAAATCGGATATAGATTTTTTTAGAAAAAAGTGACCTTTAAGCCTAGTATAGTCACCCCCTTCAATAATGCAGCTAATTGATAAAACATTCTGTTTAGTAATGTTGCATAATATATATATATATATATATATATATATATATATATATATATATATATATATATATATATATATATATATATATATATATATATATATATATATATATATATAGTTTACTTACAAGATTTATACGTGGTAGAGCCATGCTGCAGTTAGTTATATTAATAGTTGTAGGACGAATGGGTCGGCTCGACCGGGAAAGGACAACGCTCTCACAGAATACCAGCGTAAAATAGCAGCTTACTCTTTTTACTGGAAACGAGGCATTCCATCTTAGTCCTCACGGGTGACAACGCATCTACATTTTGATTCGTAATCGAGGATAGATGTAGATGTCTATGAGCCACAGCAACCACTTACCATCAGGTGGACTGGGTGCTCGTTTATCACCTTATCCTATATAAAAAAAGATTATAATGGTTAAAACCAAAGTCTTGTGTGCCATGTATAAAAATTAAAAATAAACATTAGTTATCATAATTGGGTGATTAAATCTGACTTTGTCACAGTTCATACTAAAAATCAGATGGAAGTTTCAAGTTCAGGGCCATTTACTGGTCAAAACATCCATTTTATTTTACCGTCTCCTCTCCACATAGCAAATACGCTATGGGGACAGGCAACGGTAAAATAAAATACGAATCCACAAATGTAAACACCTGGCCGCCAAGCTCCAACACGTCAAGCAAGTTTTTCATGACAACAAACTTCAGGTTCGAGGAGATTGGTCATATTTTACCATCAGTCAAGTGTAATGTTCCTCTGCAAGATCCAGGAGTGTACAAACTTGATTGTGAATGCGGTCTCTCTTACATACACAAAACTAAAATGTCAATTAAACACAAATTCTCGCTAAAGAACACCGATTCCTTCCAAGGATGATTCTCGAGGCTGGGTGGTTGTCTGGGTGCTACCATCTGCTTGGGATCATATAGTTAATAAAATTAAATCCCAACCCAAGCATACATCTGCAAGACCTCAAGATACTATAAGTTCATACTGTGTAGATTGGAACCAGAATTAATAATTTTAATCTGTGGGTAGCCGTGATTAACTATGACATCGGGACGTCAAACACCTCAATCCCCCCGTGACCACGGGTGCTGTAAAGTGCTCGAAAAGTAGGGAATATAAAAAAGTTAATATAGGCGATAAAATCCGTAAAAGCTAATTTTATTTAAATGTGTAGTGTTCGCGTAAATATAAGAAATCATTACATATGTAAATTTACCTGTTTTAGTTTTGATTTTTTTTTATTAAACTTTGTTCAGTAAAATCTATACGTTAGAATTTTTGATTAGTGACCTAAATACTTTATTATGATTAAATATATTATAATATTATGCTTTTAATTAATTTTAGGTTTGTTTAAATCTAATTTCATCATATTATGTTAACGCATCTCTAATTATGAATAACATCCGTTCATCTTGTATTCCTCTTTAGATAGAAAACGTTTTCTCAGGTTATCCTTAGTGAAAATAAATAAACTAAAAAGACTCGTCATTCACACACGCGTGTTACAATCGGTGAATGTACGGTAATACAGCGTGCCAGCATCGTCTACAAAATAATTTTTTTTAAAATTCTGAACCCTACTCCCAAATTCACAAATAATAAGGACAGTATTATCATGCATGTACCCAAGGCGACTGCAAAGTTTCTCGCCAACTAACTTTACTCTGTATTTGTAAAATTAATATTACTTCAAGTATCCATCATACCAACAAAGAAAGAAAAACGGAGCACTGGGTAAATTTCAAGTAATGGAAAAACCAGTGCTCGCCTTATAGTATAAAGACCCACTCATATACTCGTGTGCATTTAAAATCATTTGCAACAAATAACACGGTTTTAGATGTGTATGTGTGCAAACATTTACGGGCTTATAAAAAAGAAAGAATAAAGATGTGTGCGTGAGTGCATGTCAAAAAGTTGAGCATGGTTCACTTGAAGCCTTGCTTCCTTTGTTGGTCTGAGCAAGTATCAAATTAGATATAATTTTATTTTTTTGGTTTGTAGTATTAACAAACTTTGCAGCAAAAAACACTGACGTACATACTTATATATAGAGGTCAGTGCGTACATACAATTATATTTTAGCGGTTATAAAATTTGTATTTTTATTGTACAATTAGCATTTCATGTTTTCTCACACGTGAGTGCTAAATTTGGTATCTACACATTCAATAAATCTATAAAAGATTTTGTCGGTAATTCTAATATTTGCTCGAATAAACAAGTCCAGGGGTCTATGTCTATATATGTTTCCTATTCTTAAAAAGTAAATTTCCATAATATCCGTTAATAATTCCTATACCCATAGGGCCATTTCCGATATGGCTGGGGCTATAAAAATACAGTTAAAATATGTTAGACGTTTATTTTAATTTAATTAATGCATAGGCATACTAAATTAGCTTTTTGTAATTGTCTACAAATTGCTTTTAAATATTGATATTTGTTGCTCAAACTGCGCTATTATTTAAATATATAATAGAGCAAATAACGGCCTCAGAGAGATGATTACATATCTGTCCCATTTGCTATAAAGACTATCGGTTC